GTGAGGTCACATTCACAGTGTCCTCCGCTAGCTTATTCCAGGTATACACAATCCTGTTGGTCAGGATATTTCTTCGCAGCAATTTGTTACAACGTTCTTTATGGAGTTTTTTGTTGTGACCTCTAAGGTTTTCAACTTCGATAGGGTGAAACATATCCAGGTTACATCCATAACGCCCGCTCGTGATTTTAAAGGTTTCAATAAGGTCACCTCTCAGCCTTCTCTCTCTAAGTGTAGGTAGTCAAGTTCAGCCTATTAAGCCTGGTTTCGAATGGGAGGTCTCGGAGCTCTGGAGGGATTTTGGTCATTTTTCTTTGCACTCTTTCAAGAATTTCTATATCCTTGATGTAATAGGGGCTCCAGATGCACTGCCCCTACTCCAGTTTAGGTCTTATGTCTTATACAGCTTCAGGATCATCGCGCTGGAATGATCTCGGAAAGAGGCCTTGATGAGGTGAATTAGGGTATTTGCCTTTTTTACTATCTGGGATATGTGCTGTTCCCATTTCAAATTATCTGTTATATTGACACCCAAATCCTTCTAGCGTTTAAATTTGGTGACCTCTGTTTGATCAAGGACATATGTAAGTCTTGGGTTGTTTTGGCCTATTTGAAGAATGGTGCACTTTGTGCTGTTAAGCGGCATTCTCCAGAGGTCCGTCCAGCCCTTTATAGTTCCGACGTCGTCCTGGAGGTCATTGAATTGCTTCACGGGATTACAGAACAGGTTTGTGTCATCTGCAAAAGATAGAGGGTTGGTCTTCAAACCTGCATACAAGTCACTCAGGTAAACGATGAACAGCAGGGGTCCCAGAACTGAGCCCTGCGGCACACCACTGTAAACACTGAGCTCCTCCGACACTGCCGATCTCACTCGTACCTGAAATGTTCGAGCCCGAAGGAAGCTGCTGATGGACCGCAGCAGAAGCTGTCCTCTAACACCGTAGTGCTGAAGTTTGTAGATGAGTAGGCTGATAGGGATCTTGACAAAAGCCTTCTCGAAGTCAAAGTACATAACATCTATGGGTTGTTGGTTATCATCAGCATAGGTCCATTCCTGCAGTCTGGTCAAAAGGTTTGTTATGGTAGACCCTCGAGGAAGGAAGCCATGCTGTTCATTAGGGATGATATAGTTGTCCAGGAAAAAGGTTGTTAGCGCACCTACTAGTATTTTCTTTTTGCATTTGCAGATGACACTGGTTAAACGTATTGGTCTATAGTTTTCAGGTAGCTGTTTGTTGCCTTTTTTTATTAATATTGGGACGATAGCCTTCCTCCAGATCTCAGGAAAATGCCCTGTGCGAAATATGTCATTCATTGTCTCCGATAATGGCTTACATAATGTCTCTTTACACCGTGACATAAATATCGCAGGAATTTGATCCGGTCGGACTTGAGGGAACCCATGGCGGCCATCACTTTTTCAGGTGTAAACCTTTTTTTTCAGATATTTCTATCTTTGAATAGGTGTTCGGTGGCAGAGCAGGTCTAGTGTCAGTACTGAGAGAAACACTTTGGAACTGTGCAGCGAAGGACTTGGTCACATCCTCTTATGTGTCAATTATAATATTAGTGTTTTTGTCGATTAGGCTGAAACTGGCGTGTTTGGAATTGAGGCTACAATTTATACATGCATAAAAATGTTTGTCGGGGCCAGCTAGAAGGTTGTGCTAATAGTTTTTTCGTTTTTCTGTGACGTAGTATTTTGTTCTGTTGTCCTGAATACGGTACAGAAAATAGCTTTCTTCTGATGGATTTTTTCTGTACCATAGATCTCTTTTCTTCTCGATTTCTCTGAACACCCCTTTGTTCAACCAAGGCTTCTGAGTATTTGTTTTTTTTTTTATTTTAGAGGGATGAGGTGGTCTATAGTTGTATGGAGGGCAGCTTCTAGGTTGTTGTAGTTTAATGGTTCTTCTTGGGTTAGTTAATGTTGTGAGTTGGTTCAACTGGGAGTTGCAACTGAGCTCTGGCTGTTATTACTACATGGTCGCTGCGGCCCAAAGGTGCATGCTCTTGGAGATCAAAAATGACGATCATAAGGTCGCCTTCCAAAAAGTCTAGGCTACATTGATCACGGGGGTTGACAGTAAGGGTGTCCCAGTCAATTTCCGGGTAGTTTAAGTCTCCAAAGATAAATACGGGCTTTATTGATGACATGGCTCTCTCTATTATTTGTAGGAGTTGCTGATTTTGCTCAATTGAGTTGTGTTGTTTGGGTCTGTAGATGCAGCCTAAGGTGAATCTCATATTTCTTATAGAGACATCGGTTTTGGATTTTTCGCTGCCTCATTAAACTTGTTCACCTGTTCTTGCAAATGTTTTGTGTCTGCGGCCACTTGAGCATATGTTGATGCGTTAGAGTTAACTTTCTGTTTGAGCTCATTTATTTCTGCACGCAGGTCGCAGATCTGCTGCTCTATTTCATGTATATTCCCGATAAGACTTCGTATTGTTTTAATGCATCCTGAGCAATGGAAGTAGATATTCCTCTTCTGAGCAGTCAAGGCTCGTATTTCGCTGGCAGATACACCCGAGCATTCTCGGCACAAAATTAGTTTGTTCAAGTAACATGGGCCTCCAAAGAGGTCTTTAATGTAACGTCTGTGAAAACACAGTTGGAATTCCACTTGGAACAGACCGGCATAGTTCTCTAAACTCTGTCCAACGAATCTACGAGTATGACAGAGTCAAAATGGCGGCCAGGTTCACACTGAACACTGATTTATGCCATTTATTTATTTCAGAATCTTACAAAACATCACTCTACAGTGTTAAGCGGGCTGATAAAATAGTAACGAACCTTTTTGAAGGTTTTGTTGTTTTCCACTCCGTAGGTTGGTTGGACAGAGTATAGGTTAAGTTCAATTTGTTCTGATTCAGGTATATGAGAAAAATTCTCTGTTTACGGCAGAACCAGATAGTCCACCTGTTGCGTAGAACGTTATTTAGTGGTCGTGAAGTGCTTTAGATAATTAAAACACCCTTAAACATGCGAAAATACGTGAAAAACTTCGGACAAAAATATGTAAACATGCGACACATTTAAGGTTAGATTTTTGAACAACTAATCCCAAGCCGGGATTCGAACCTGGGACCCGCAGCATGCGTAGCAGATACATTAATCACTACACTGCCTAGGCCGGCTAAGATGCTATTATCAGTTAAAGAAAGGTTGGGAAGCATACTGTGATCAGTATAACCAGTTGCTTTTCGGTAATTATAATTTAAAAACATTTCAGGTGAACGTGTGGGAGAATGCTCATCATGCCCGACTGGTGGTAATGGATCCTGAGTCATGTGGGTACAGTACATTCCCATCCTTATGACCCTTGAGCTCGTCCCCATAGTCCCCAAAGCCTGCACGGATATTCAAACCTGCAATTGTTCGTCCCACTGCCTGACAACAATGTGCACATGCAAGAAGACTGGACTGACTTGCACCAATTTGTGCCACCGCTCTCACCAATGTCTTAACTCGTTGAAAGGGTGATTTATTATCTTTCTTGTATTACTGTCTTCAGCTAACGACACTAGAATTATTTTTTTATTATCTTTATCTGCAATAAACAATGTTTGAACTCTGGAATGGTCGTTTTCATCACTTCCTTCGGCAACCATCTTGGAGCGCATGAGCTCCAAACTTAAGGTAAGTGAATTTCAAGCAAGGGTTTTCTCAGATGCTAGGTACATTGCAACCTAGCATCTGAGAAAACCCCTAAGCAGATGTTTGAATCATTATTACAAGCCAATGGACAAGGGAAATATAGAGCAACAAAGTTTCGACCACCATCTTGGCCGCCATCTTGGATACCGGACTTCCAGTCGAAATTTGGTTTTGGCAACAGGCAGATTCGTATTCAGCAGGGTCGATATACCCTAAAAACGTTGTTTCCCCAATTGTTACATGAAATTCTTTTTGCACTGTTCATTTTTGAAAGCGTGCCTAGTCTACAATTAATTCAATAATAAATTATTGTTCTGACATAAAAATGAAGAGTTTTTGGACTGATGAGTAAAGTTTCTAATTTGAAAATGTGTGAGTATTGAAATAATGAGTGAATTTCGTAGGTACCTAAATAAATTATTTCAACAAAAATAGTCCCCCACTAGGATAAGATTCACTGAAAGTTTCAAATTTCTATCTTTAATAGAATTAGAGTTAAGTATGATTTTTTAAAGTTTTCAAAAATCAAAAGACCCCTCCCTTAGTAGGTAAGTACTTATTTAACAAAATTGATATAAAAAATGAGACTCGAGCCATTATCTAATAAAAACTATAAGAAAAAATGGAGGAGAAAGGGTGGAGGAAGAAAGTATGAAGAAGTGTGGAATGGAGGCAAGAAAGAATGGAGAAGGAAAAGATGTCAGAGCAGTGAAAGAGGAAAAGACTGTAAACAACCTCGATCTGCGGTCATATCCAGAAGAAATTTCAGACCAAGAGAAAGAGGTTATCGAGATACGAAAGGATGACTAAATACCAGAAGAACGCCATCAGGATTAGAAAAAAGTACCTACTTTCCAATAAAAAAAATAATTTCCAATAATTCCAAACAAACCAAAAACCTCTAGATTTTGAAGATCTCATGTAACATCTACATTCTATCAAAACTACTATCTATATTATGATTATAAAAAACATCAGTGATGGTTCACCTTCACTTGACGGCCTATTTAATACAATATAAATGCATTTCGAAGACATTTTATTTTTTTGCTAAATCAAGGCTGAACGACTGCAGCACAGTTTGCTTGCTGTATAAAACTTAATTGAAAATCAACATGAAATTGGCACCGGACCAAATCAAAATTGGAACAGCATACTACAAGTTGTAAGCAAAATTTTTTATATAAATTTCTCTCGACTGTTTTGTTTTCGTTAAATTAAATCAACCATAGGAAGTTTTTCTTATATTTTTAGCCATTTCTCAAGGATGTGTGTGTTTTTTAATTTAATATACACACTCACCAGCGTCTGTTTTTATTTTAAATTCACAAACCTTTGCTCCAGTCTTTTGCCATAAAGTTAAATTTTCTCTGTGTTCACTAGGCCCTGTGAAAATGACGGGATTGTCTCGTACATCTAGGGCCCATATTAATTTGTGTAGGGCCTCGACACAGCCGTGACCACAGAATATCACCGCTTCATCTTCACTAGCATTCACTGATGATCTTAGGATTTCCCTTGCTTCTTGTCTATAACAAAAAAAAATTATATAAAAGTTATTGATCCGCAATACAATTAAACAAAATTGATATGCAAATGAGTTCATGTTTTACGTAATTCCAACACTATTTCGTAATAACTTATGCGGCTTCCTGAATTTTAATTATTTCGGTTCCAAGGTTTTTAATTGAAAACACAAACTGATATAAGTTTTTTAAAACAAAGAACGATAATGGTTTATGTAAATATATTTGCCCAGCTTAAATTAGCTTCACCCATAAATCTGATTCCATATTTATGATGGAATTTTCTAATTATTCTGGAAGTGCGAAAATATTGCATTTATCAGTAGTTATTTCTAATATTGCCAATAAATACCTAGTTCTTAATGGCTTGATACACGCTATCGTAATGATTCAATAAGGATATCCGGTCAAAGAGCAATTCCGTAATGTAATTGTATAGTACTGGAAGCGGCAGTGCCAATAAAAACGAATAGTGGAAATTGAATTAGGAGTAGTTAAATGAGAAATTTTAATTGATTAAAGACAAAAGTACTAACCTAAAGAGGGTGGTTTGTAGTGACGATATGCTTGTTGTAAAATGAGTATTGCCATATGTTGGGAGTACTTCTCGTAGAATGTACTCTTCGATGAACTGTAGCGATCTTCCTGAGGCGGCATAATCGCAAAATACAACTGAAACAAAGTAAAAATATTCCATTAACCTGTAACTCAGTTATTATTGTATGATGTACCTATCAAAAATATATGTAAGATAGATGCAAAGTTATTAAAACTGTTGTTGCTAAAAAGCATGCCCTCTATATACAAGGTGTTTCACAACAACAACAACAACAACTATTTTAATGAAATGTATAGGTAAGTAATAATTATTCTAATATGAGAAATTGTAGAAATAATTAATAAACTAGGCTCTAGTTATGGTTAACTATAATAAAGTCAATACGTAGGTGGGTGCAAAAAAAGCTGACAAAAACAAGATGCAAAGTTGGTTTTACATTTTAATTTTTTTTTTCCAGGGAGTAGGTACCCTATTCTTCACCGTCTGGGGTATCTAGCCAAAACTAATTGTGGTTGAAGGAGATTTCCGGTTCGTCCCGCTCCCTGCTCCCTCACCCGTCCTGTAGTGAATTCTAATATTCCTATAGCTTTCAGAATCTTTAGTTCATTTTGTCTTAAAATGGGATTGAATGCTGTGGGCACATTTAGCAATTAAGCAAAAGAAGGTTTGTATATGGTGCAAAAATTTTTATTAAGAAATATCAGTGCAGAGCGCTTTCGGCCTTAGGCCATCATCAGTGCCAACTTGAAAAGTAAGGAAAATCCAACATCAGCACATGAAATGTGGGAGATGTAACCCTTGAAATTATAATAATTGGTTTTTACTCACTTCGTCAGGTGTATATGAAAGAACTTGAATTGTAAAACAACGGTGCACGTGGTTACATAAGTCGCAAACTAATGAATGGACCTTTCTCATGTAATGAACAACAAGGATAGTTTATTAAGATTTCTGCAATATAAAAAAAGACACATATAATGACGCGCGATACCTGTGTGGAATGACTTTGATTGGTTCCACTTGTCAAATTGTGCAATTTCGGTTATGTTTCTGTTTATGTTTATTTTTAGATGTAAATATGACAAAATACGTATTAACATTAATTAGAAAGAAAACCCACCGCAGCAAAAATGTTTGCAGCAAACCTTTAATTGTATATTATTATTGTATTTGATATAAAAATCGTTATTTTACGAACTCTCAAATCTCTGTCCTAACCTAAATCGTCTTCATTCGGGTTGAGAGCACGTAACTATTGTTTTCTTACAATTTGATTGCTTGGGAACTTGTGAAAAGAAAGGTTTGACTTCTTTTTCGCCTAATTCTGACAAGAACTTATTCAACTCATTTGAACCATAAACAGTTTTTGTAATCATTTTCAGCAATATTGATTGAATATTGATTGATAGATTGATACTGACTGATTATTGAGGTTAGCTTAAATACGTCAGGGTCAGACCGTGTTCAGTAAATTGACGATTTAATTATCTGTCACCCACAAGATGCGCGCGCAGCACAGGTAAAATGAGAAAGGTCCATTACATGGATTTACTGAACAATTTAAAACCAATTATTATAATTTCAAGGGTTATATCTCCCACATTTCATGTGCTGATGTTGGATTTTCCTTACTTTCCAGGTTGGCACTGATGATAGCCTAAGGCCGAAAGCGCTCTGCACTGATATTTCTTAATAAAAAAATTTGCACGATATACAAACCTTCTTTTGCATTTTGTCTTAGGTTCTTCTGCTTATTCTTTTGTCTAAGGTTTTATTCGGTGCCTTCTCAATTCTTCTCAGTTTTCAAAAGTTCTACTATTTGTTTTCTAGAAGAGGTATTAGTTAACCCAAGGAATTTCTTCCTCATTGTACTTCACACTCATGTCTGGGTAATTCTTTTTTCTATGACTCATTCTCATGGCTGCTGATTTCTGGATCGAGATTTTAAAATTTAGGTCACTGAACAATAATTATAATATATTAGATAATGATTCATTCATATCTTTTCTTACAGTTTCAATATCCTGATCCTCGGCTATTACTGTAAAATCATCGTCGTTTTGCAAAATTGTCACGTTCCCTTTGGTTAGTTTGCTTCTCTTTTATTGAGAAGATTCTATATGAAATTGTTCATCTCCATGGATGTATCTATGGTTGATCCAAATCGAAACGGCAGTAGATGACAAACTGGTCATCCGCTTGGATTTGGAAATTGTATAGTTCTTTGAAAGCATTGTATAATTTGTGTATGTTTACTTGATCATAAGCAGCTGTTACATCCAGAAAAACCACAAATGTATCAATTTTTTGATGAAACTGTTTTTGAATTTTTACTGTTAGGTACCTATGCTAAACATTCTAGACATCCCGTACCTTTTCTGAAACCAATTTGTAATTCCGGCAATTCCTTCTTATTCTCCAATTTCCATTCCAATTTGTTTTTAATAATTGTTTCAAGATTCAAGTATTTTCCCAGGGCAGGAGGTTAATGCTAAGGGTCTGAAGTTTTTTGCAACTGCATTGTCTTTGTTGTCCTTCAACAATGGGCTGATGTATATTTTTTCCATTGCATTGGTAAAAAGTTGGTAAATATTGGATCATAAAGTATGTTATGTTGTCCAGTCCAGCTAGGGGCCGGATCAGGGTTGCCAGATTAAAATATATATGATATAATATTCAGGGTTTGCGCAGAATCGTGACGGTACCCTGCCGTATTGGATCAATCCTAACTCACAAATGACAACCCCCGCTAACATTACTAGAAATATAATGATATCATAGACTAGGAAGAAAAAGAACATCGTTTTATGGTCGGCACTCGACCGAACTAAAATTGTGTTGCCAACTCTGAAGCAAGACCTTCCACTAGAAAGGACATTTAAATTAACTAAAATCCTCTAGGAGGAAAAAATCGCGACTCAGGCGAAAAATTTTTGGACTAGTGGAAAATCTACTAAATTTTTCTCACTCTTTTTTGAAATGTTTAGCGCTGCTCTCTGTCTTTTTATTGTTCAATAACTAAAAAATATAGACACAGTGATGCAGTGCATACAGTGACTCAATAAACGTTTACGTACAGAGAACCAATCAAAAATAGGACGAAAAATATGCTGCTCTTTGTAAATTAACAGAAATAGGTACTATACAAATACGTTATTTCGAAATTTTAAAAAGAAGTGTCAAAAACTAATGGAAGCGTAGTAGCACTAAAAATTCACTTGAGTTGAAGCCGTGGATACCATTAAAATTTCCACTCTAGTGGAATTTGCTAAAACCAGAGTTGGCAGCACTGTCTCTAGCCGTTCGGCGTTGATCAAGGGAAACGCAGCCTAAAAAGGTGTTGTCGGCCGGAAATCGGGATATATTACCTTACATTTTTAAAAATCGGGACATTTGGCATTCAATTCGTAAATCGGGACGGTTCAGAAATATTTCTAAAAATCGGGACTGTCCCGCCTAAATCGGAACGTCTGGCAACCCTCTGAGCCGGATCTTTTTTCCCTTGCAAAACATCCAGCTCAGCCAGATTATTATTTCTTCCTCTTCCGAATGGAAATTTCCATGTCTTCTGTCCATTGTAAAATCTGGGTCTATATTCAACTGAATCAGGTTTTTAATTATCTCTATTGCTATTTCCTGCTCTGGAGCTTTATTTCTTGATTCAGTTTTCCCTTTTGAGAATATTCTTATTGTCGTCCAAATTTTCTGTAATATGTTTATATTTCCACAATATTCTTCCCTTTGAAGCTGTTCTTTTTCTTTTCTTTGAATTTCCTTCTTGTCTGAGCACTGACCCTCTTTACGTGGATAATTCATATTTGAGTTTATTCATAGCAGTTTTCCTTTTATTTGAAAACTCCCGACATTGTTCATCCCACCAGTGGACCGGATCTTTATGCTTTCTTTATTCAGCTTTTTTTTCCAGAATTGTTTTCCAGTAACTTCTAGTATATCTTCTTCCAGATCAGAATATGATTGTGGACTGTTTCCCAGGAATCTAGATAACAATTCGTCATGGTATCTTTCCCAATTTTCCTCTTTTATATTTCTTCTAGGTTTGCTTCTTTGTATTGACTCAATCTCGGTATGTCTCAAGGAAATTAATATTGGATAATGGTCACTGTTTCCACAGTCTTCTAAAATTTTCCATTTCATTATTGTGGCCATAGAGCTGGATACCAGAGAAATATCTGGAGCTAATTTATTTTGGCCCGGAATTGTCAGTCTAGTTGGAGATCCATCATTTAGTAAAACTAGAGAAGTTTTATTTAGAATATTATTTATGACATTTCCATTATAGTTTGCCACTGAACTTTCCCATAGGGGGCGATGGCCGTTGAAATCTCCTAGTATTAATTTTGGTTCAGGTATATTATCAATAGTAATATAACTAGTGCAATGGAAATTATTGATAATTTTTGGGAAATTTGCCCGAATGCATTTTTAGTTGAAAAAGAGCACGAGTGCACGAGTGCCTTTTTCACTTAAAAACGCATGAGTGCAAATTTGTCGAAAATTATAAATATATTTGCAAAAAATGTTAAAACACCAGTTTTCGCACCAGTTAGTATGCAATTATCTGATAATTTGCACTAGTGCAAATTATCACGTAATTACAATCTGATTGGTTCAAATCAACAATCAAAACATGTCAATTTATTGTTGGAATACCAGTTTTGACAGATGTATGAAATTCTCAATAAGATCCTTGATCCAGTTGCCTCTGATTTTTGTTGATGGTGGGACATAGAAATTGAGGATTGAAAGGTTTGGTTTCATGATTTTTATTGCCTGCATTTGAAGGTTTCCTAGAAAATAATAATTTGACAGATCATACTCGTTAAATTCTATGGGATTCTTTATCAAACATGCAATACCTCCCTTACCATCTTGTCTATCTTGTTTACAAATTTTGTAATGTCTAATCCTTAAATTGTAATCTTTTCTCAGCCATGTTTCATTCAAAGTTATAATTTCAGCTTTTCGTTCTTGTATTGAAATTTTCAAGTTGTGTATGTTTGAATTGATTGATCTAATATCCCATTGTAGAATTTCCATTACTCTATCTGGTGTGTTATTCATGGGGTTTTTGATTTGCTGTGTTTTTCTGGTTTTCACCATTCATCCTGTTCCATTGG